GTGATTTCTTGTCGCAAAGTAGCCGTAGAAGTGCTAGTTTCATCTCGTTGTCTTTGTAGTTCAGTTTCTTTTTGGCGAATTTGGGTTTGTAAGTTTTGGATAGTGGTTTGATTAGTTTGCTGGTTAGTCTCAACTTCTTGGGTGAGTTGCTGAATTTTAGTTTGTAGAGTTTGGGAATTAGATAATTCTTGGTTTAATTGGTAGTTTAACTCTGAAATTCTCTTCCTTAAAGGATTACTTAAAAAAATGTTTTCTTCAAACTTTTTTTCTTCTATTTTCCTAATTTTTTCGGCATTTTCTTCTTTAAATATGTCTATTCCTCTGTGAAGTTCATCATTTTGTTCTTTGCTTAATTCGGCGATGTCTATGCTAGAAAAAAGGGTTCAAGCATTTTTAGTCTTAATATAATCAAAAGTGGTAGTTAGCGGATTAAGCAAATTAGTAAATTCTATAATTTTTTCTTCATAAGGTATACGATATAAAGTTATTCCGGAAATTCCTCTGTAATATGGTTCTCCTCCTCTAAGGTTTCTTAAATTTAAAATCGCATTGTCCAACTGTTGATTCCTTTTTCACGGAATTAATTCAAGTTCTCTAAATATAGAAGGCAGTTCAAGACTTCGGCAATTCACGCAACTAGACATTTCCGTTACCGCTGATGAATTTATTGTTAAAGGCCTAAGAAGTGAAACTCTATTAACAAAAAGGCAACTTATGCATAATTCTCCTTCACTAACTGCATTATTAGTTTGGCATTTAGAACACTGTGGCATAATTAACCATTATCCCTCCGTAACTGTTCAACTTCTTTTTCTAGCTTTTCCACTTTTTCGTTTAACTTATTATTCTCCACTTGCTCGGCATCTAATTGTTGGACTTTTTTGCTGTATTTATCCTTAAATTCGCTTAATTCTTGGTTAGTTCGCTTAATTATTTGTTCTTTTTCGTTAACGCGGCTTTTTCAAGCAGTATTTAGGCTGATTATTTCTTCTTGGAGTTCGTTTTTAGTGCGGGTAAGAGTGTCGTTTTCAGTCTCCCGAGTTTCATTCTCTTCTAAAATCTCGCTTAAAGTTTGGCCGTTAAGTTTAAGGCGTAATTCGTTTAAATCTTGCCCACCTAGTTCATTTTTTAAGAAACTAGCGAGGGTGCGATTAGTTTGTTGGATTTGGGCGAATTTATCGGGACTATCTGGGCTAGTTAAGCTTCTTTGCCGGTAGTAATAAGCCACGAGGGCGATTATAATCAAAATTAGGATAATGTTAGTCATATTAGTTTTCTTGCGGTTGGGGGCGGTTAAGCAAAGCCATAAATCATAAGGCTAATCAAGCATATAGGGCATAGGACCAGTAGTTAAAAGGGTGTTCGAGGGGGCTAGCGGGCAAGTTTTTATTCCGGTTAATTCTGGCTAAACTTAATTCGTGTTGGAGGGTGCTTATTTGTTGGTTAGCTTGAAAAAGCTGCGTTCTTAAAGAAGAGTTTTGCTTATCGCCACGTCCTATTTCATTAGAGGCTTCTTCTACCGTTTCATTTAACTCTTGTTGGGCTTTGTTTCTTTTCTCGTGTTCCTGACCAAAAGTGGTTAAAGCTTGACAACGAGCTTCCAGAGATTGGTCCAGTTCGCTTTTAGTGTGGGCTAATTCAGTGTTTTTTGCTTCCAAAGCTTTTCTTAATTGCTCAATCTCTTGCTGTTTTTCTTTTAATTGCTCTTGAACTAAGGGCAAAGGAGGAGCGGCGGGAATATCTCCTAAGCTTTTACTTCTTTTAAGCTTTTTAATATCACTGGGCTTCATTCCGGGTTTAACGGTAGCTAAAAGTTCTTTTTGGAGGTTTTCTTTGGTCATAAATTAGGTTAAATTAGTTTAGCGTGGCATTCGCGCAATTGGTGTTCTAGTTTAGCAATTAAGCGGTTCTTTTCTTGGCAGTTAGGGCAATATTTGCGTTTTTTCTTAGACATTATTTTTGGTTAGCAAAGCAAGTTAGGCAAATTCCGGGCAAGGGGCTAGGGAAGTGGTAAGTTTGTTGGCAATTGTGGCAAGTTTTAGTCATTATTTTTTAGTTTAGCTAATTCGGCTTTTAGTTCGTTAATTTGTTTTTGTTCGGCGCCATTCTTTTTTTCTAATTTAGCGGTCCTTCAACCTAACTTTAACGAATAATTAAAGAACATAGCTAAGGCCGCTAAAAGGGTAGCACACAGAGCTAAACACAAATAAAATCATTTAGTGCAATCTTGGCTCATTATTCACTATAAGCTAAAAAGCTTCCTAAAACTACGGAACTACCCATAAAGATTAAGCCCCGATAAGGGCATAAAAAGCAGTCTTTATTTAAGCGGTGACCATGAAAAACGCCATAGCCCACTAAGCCGATTAAACTTAAAAGAATTAAGGGTTCTTTATTCATGTTAGTGCTCTAATAACTTAGTTAAACTTAGACCAATTTGCTGATAAGCTTGGGTTAACTTTTTAAGTTCTTTAGCTCGTTGAACCCCTAAACTAGGGGCTAAATGTTTACAATCATGGCAAGCTTCACTAACTTTTTTGTGGGTAAAACCGGCTTGAGCTTGTTGGCAAAGGCATTGGTAATAGGCGGCAGTGTCTTTTTTAGTTGGTTTAGTTTTAACGAGGGTTAAGGCTTTAGTTCGAGCAACTTTCACGGGAGCTTTTTTAGTTTTTAAAGGTTTATTTATTTTCATATTATTCAGTTAAGTTTTCAAAATAGGAAGCATCATAGCACGAGAATTCGCTTAAATCGGCAATTAGGGCTTTGATTACCATTCGGCAATAGTAAGTGGCAATTTCCTCGGCCACATATTCTTTGTCCGGTAACTCTCCTTCGTTATACTGGTTTTCAATATCGCCTAATAAGGTGCGATAATCAACATCTTTATCTAAGAATAAGCCAGTAAGTTTTTGCTGCTTATCTTCGTAGCGTCAAGGCTCAGTAATTAGGTTTAAGTTTTGGAGTGGGAGGCTATTAGTTAAGAGTCGGTAAATCTTTTCTTGGGCTAAGTTATCCACTTCTTCCCAGAATTGTTCTTCGGGGGTTAGTTTAGACTTTGGGATAGGGTTTTTAGGGGTTTTTTTACGGTTAACTAAAGCCATTATTTTCGTTCCTTTCATTTAGCTAGCAGGTAAAGGCCAACTAGGCTGGCTAAAATTCCGTAAGCAATATATTTATATTCAATTTCTTGGATGGTTTTTAACATAGTATTTATTTGGTTTGATTTAAGGAGCTAAATCATAAAGCCTTTTCTTTGCAGAGAATTCAATAAGTAACGGGTATCTTTTTTTAAGTAACGTTCAGTGGTC